TAATGGAAAATTTCTGGTGTACTTCATAGTTGGGTGGTTTGAGTAGCTCTTCAGAGAGGAAATAAAGGCTGACAGGTGAGAGAGGCATTTAGTTATTAGAGAAGTAGATAACGTTTGTTTGTTAAGCTTTCCCTGGTATCTCCTGTCTCTGCTGTCTGGTGAAGAGATTTATTTCCACTGTGACTGCCTTTTTCACTGCCACAGTGTGTCGCTGTCCCCTTTACCCTTCTGCTGACAGTGCTTGAAGAGATTGGATCTGCGTGGAATTGTTTGCCTGCGCTTTATCAGATGCACGGCACTTGCTGTTGGTCATCGCTCCTGTCACCTGTACTATTCTTGGTTCCCTGTCTCCTGCAGTGACCTCACCTCACCCTTCAGGGCTCAAGGTTGCCCACTGTCATCAGGTTAAGGTGACACTTTCCCTCTGGGTATTTCTTCCTTTTTCTGAGTGATCCCTTCCTGAGTGATTGTGTGGCTTTTGCTCAGACTTGGAATGTGCTGTGCTGCCTGGATATGCCCTGTGCCAGGACAGACCCAAATGTTGTGACATTTTAAAATGTAATCCGGTCCTGTTTCTAGCTCCAGTCCAGGTTTGATCATCACTGTATTGCTGCAGTCATTGCCCTTGCTTATCCTTTTTCTACCCCCAAATTTGCAATTTATGTTTTTGCACGTGCTTGATACTGAGTAAACATTCTTCCTGTCTCCCTTGAGGTTACTGGACCCTGCAGTACTGTAGCACTTTGTTTGTGAGGTTATTTATTGCTATAGCACTTGGAGTGATCTCACCTCCATTTTATAGATGGAGAAACAGAGGCATAGAAAACTTAAGTGTCTTGTCTGGGGTCTCCCAGCGTGCAGGCTGCTGCCCAGTGCGACCAGGTGTCTCATGTCTGGATCACCACTGTGCTCTATGTGCCTGAACAAACTGTGCCTCTGACTTCCTTCTCTGCAGCCCTGGAAGTGCTTTCCTTGTCACCTCCCCATCCCCCCCTCAAAACCTGATATTAAATCCCATGTGTTGATTGAATTCTTCGGGCTAATTGGCCTCCCTAGTTGCTCCTTTGCTCTTGCGAAGCTGGCAGCTGAGGAGCTGCTCGCCTGCGCCCGGCGATGCAGGGCTCCTTGGATGCTGATGCAGGGCTGGCGCGGGGAAGCTGCGCAGCCTCCGCTTCCTTGCGTGACCCCCGTTGAGGGGAGCACGAAGTGGGGCCGACCATTGCTGCGAGCCGCCGCTGCGCGTGGCCTGGGCCGCGGGCTCTGCGCTAAGCCCCGTTACGTAACCTGTGGAGCGTTTTCTCTCTTTCCTGATCAGCTGCTTTGCTCTGAATGCAGAAGAGCGAAGCTGCCACCCTCTCTGTGCATGCTGCGTCACAGGAAAAGTGACACAGAGAGAGGGGCGGTGGAAAGCAAGGGACAGAGGTTGAAATATTGAAGAAATTTAGGAAGTGCTACTGCTTCAAGGAGAGCCGTGTGAGTGCAAGAGGCTCTTTGCAGCTTTCTGCTGCTGGGTTGTGAGCTGCGGTATTGACAAAAATAAAATAGCAGCACTACACAAGACGAGTCATAGGCAAGCCTGAAATCTGTTAATTCCTTCACTGAGACAGCATGGAAGATTCTGCAGAGCAGAGTCAGGAAATGAGGTATCACATGCTGCAAAGGTAAGGATTACAGATATGATTGTCTGCTCGCAGCAGCAGCTGTCTCAGACTGAAGCAGTTGGGCACGCTGTACTGGAAACGCATGCTGATATTTTTCCATGTTAATTCTGTCCTCTGAAACCTCGCCGGTTACTGTGAGGTATCTGTGCATGCAGTCTGTAAGAAAGATGCTAGAATACATCTTAGTTAGGGAATCGGTGTTTAAAAAGTTGAAATTCTGCACAACTTTGAACCTTTATAAACTGAGGGATAGATGAGCATTTTGAAAGTTCCTACCTAACAAAACACTGCGGTTGTGGTGTGGTGATTAATAGGGATGACTGTTACTAACTGAGCATTTATTCTGTTTTGTTTAGAGCTTGGTGTTCTTTCTTCCTTGCTGCCCAACTTCTACCTCATCTTACCCTGCAAAAAGAAAAAAATATCTCCTGTTTTGATTATAATGTGCACCCTGTGGTTATTAGTAAATAAATGTAGTGTTCTTGATGTGTCACAAATTAAACTGAGCTATGCTTGCTTATAAACAAGTATTTGTGTATTATTCTGGATGATAAACCTGTGGTTTTGTTGACATTTTATCTGCAGCACTGTCTTTGTGTGTGGTAATTTCAGCTTGGCAGAGTAGTTCATACTTGTTCACAGATTGTGACCCCAAGATTTTTATCTTTTTCTAATTTTGTTGAGACTGCTCTCAATAAACCTACAATGAATAAACCTGTCTCACTGGTAGGACTGCACTCCTTCCTTGGTGTGCCATAGATTCTAATCCTCTTTAAATACATTAATTTAGTAGAAATTCAACCTTAACTATGCCTTTCCTCTTGTTCTTGCCTGTTGACTCAAGTCCTTGGATTTCTGGGCTGAGATTATCACAGAGCAGTTTGTGAACTTGTGCTGATAGGGACAGGTTTTAGGTTCAGTGACTGAAGTGCAGCTCGCTGGAAGAAGGGAAAGTACATGGAGAAAGAACCTCTGCATACTTCACTTGTTCTTATGCCCTTCCCTGGATATCAGCTGGCAGCTCTTCTTTGAGACAGGTTACTAGACTGGAGGTACTTTTGTCTGACCTAATACAGCCCTTTTAAATGTCCTAGAGTATCACTGAGAGATAGGCATCTGTGTTGTTTTTAGCATGCTTTAAAAATCATCCTATTGGTCTTGTTTTTCCTGTTACGTTTACTTCTCCCACTCTTGGCTTCATGGAGTGCTTCAAAGTCACTTTCACTGCGCTTAGGACAGGTTTTCACTTCCAAGTTAAGCTCAACATTTGGCAGACTATAACTTGAAGTTCTCCGTCAGCATGGCCATTTGTCATGAGAATATCACGTGCGTGAGAGAAAGATTGATGTGTTAAAGCAGAACACAGGATCTGGATTTCAAGTGCTGTAACTAAGCTTTCTTGCTGTTCTGGAAATCCCTGCAAAGTCAGTGTTGTGCCACAGAGTGTCACAGCCAAAAGAGATGGTGTGCACGAAGGTGGAAGGGCAGGGAAGGATCCACTGCATCACACGTGTGGTAGATGAATGTTTTTATCGTCAGATCAGGGCACTGATCTTGCCTCACCTGAAAGATCAGCTTTTATTCTAGTACAGTTCTTGCTTGGTTATACCAGGATTTGGGATATACCTTTTTGAATAGGTTGTGCTAGGTGATGTGATTCAAGATCTTTTCTGTTCATGTGTACTGCATAACACAGTGAGCCTGTGTTAGCACCATGATTGATCATAGGAAAGATGCGTAAGAAAAACATCTGGATGTAAACCAGGTGCTAGCTGCAGGTTGTTCAGGGCTTCTTTCATCAGCAAATTTTTTTAGTTAAAATACTTTTCTGTGGTGTTACTGTGTTCCTGATGAAGAGTTAAGGGGGGTCTGCATTCCAGATGGGTAAATCTTCATAGGCCATAATGTATTTATGAGGGAACATGAGAGAGAATCCATGTGTTTCCTGTCAGGCTGTCACCAAGCACCTCTGACAGCAGCTCGTTCAAGCCAAGATGCTCCAAACTTGCATGGGACAATGAACCTCATGGGTACAGCTCTGTGTTTCTAAGAGGAGACCTCTAGATGTTGTGTGTGACATGGCTTGTCCTTGGGTTGGTTTTCCCTTCATGCCCTCCTCCAGCAATTCCAGTCGCTTTCTGCGGCATCCCATCCCATTTCCCAACGGGGTTGCTCAATGAGCAGCTGATGAGGCCAGAGGTTCCTGATGGGCTTTCCCTGCCTGAAGGGCAGGCAGCAGGGCCCACGTGGCTCCTGGGACAGACGCTGCCCAGCACAGCTGCCCCAGAGGCACCGACCCCCTTGGCTGCAGTTGGGTCTTTACAAAGCATTGAGCAGCTCTTTAAATCCCTTCCCAGTATTCATCCCTCCTTCCTACAGAAAGGTTCTGTAATCCTGCATGGTGGCAGGGGTAAGGACTCTTCATCAGTGTGTTTGTGGAAAAGGAACTTGATAAGGAAAACACATTAAATGAGGTTAGAAAAGTGCTGACAAGCTGTTGAGTGACCTGAGAAGTGAAACTTCAGAGGCTTTAAAATTTTCCCAGTCATGCTGCACTACGGTAGACGCACAGCGTGAGCAGGCCACTGCTTTTCTATTAAGTTTCCTTTCACAATTACAATTTTGTAAATTTTAGCAATTCAAATCCTGTAGTGATTGCAAAAGCAAAAGGTAATTTATCCATGTGTTGTTTGTGTGGAAGCTGAAGCATGAGAAAGGGAAGCAACTATCCCATTCCCACAGAGAAAGCTGGTGGCAGAGCACGGAGTTGGTTTTGTCAGACTCAAAACTGGCTTTTGCTCTTTGTAGCAGAAGTGACGTGATTAATGTGTCCTTTAGCACTCAGAACTTTTGGGGAAGATACTAAAGACTGGATGGTAGAATATTATTGAAAAATTATTTTAAGTAGCCAGTCACAGTCTCTTATTTGCACCTGGAGATTTATTTGCTGATCTGACTAGCTTGTTTTGCCAAAGCCACAAAACGCTTTTGTTGTTTCCCAGCTTTCCTAGGTGAACCAAAAGCAATGTGGTGGAGCATTGCTCTGCATTGGACAGCAATATACAGTGAATGTATTTTTACCTATTTATATGTTAGCGTAACCAGAAGTTTTCCAGACAACCTGGCTTTTGCAGAGAGATAACTGAAAGGTAGTTAAAAAAACAAAGCCACCCCTGTAAAAGCTGAGGACCTGACCTTGGTGATCTGGAGGCAAGGAGTAATTCTGCTTGTCTACTTGGGCCAAGGGCAGCTTTATAAATTATTCACATAACCCCTTCTACCTGTGTACATCTGCACTGTTGAGTGGTTTTTTTTCCTGTCTCCCACAAATTTCCTTAGGCCCAGCATGTCTGGTTTACACCTTGTAAAGCAAGGCCGGGACAGGAAGAAAGTTGATGTGCAGCGGGATTTCACTGTGGCTTCTCCGGCAGAATTTGTTACTCGTTTTGGAGGAAATAAAGTTATTGAAAAGGTAAGTTACTGACCTTTTTGGCTTAGCATATTGCATTTTGTTCCCTTCTCTTGAGCTGTAACTTTATACGTAATACTATAGACCATAGATATAAAAATGCTAGCATTCCTGAACTTGAAAGTTGTAGTTCTGCCTGTAATCATTCTGTTTTCCTTTTATTTTATATGTGATAAATAAACATCCTGTTGTTTTAGTTTAAAAAAAATGGAGCAAGCTGAAGCACTTCTTTTGATACAGAGGGAATTATAGACAGGTGTAACTAAAGTAGACTGGAAAAGAACACTGAGAATTGTATTTTAAAATAGATAATCATATAACGGATGAGATCTCTTCCTTTCAGGTATTGAAAGTTTTAGCCGCTCATTATGCCTGTTCTCATGGGTCCTTCTGCTCTTTAATCCAAACAAAGCATAATACATTAAAATCTCCATGGTCAAGCAAGAGCTGATTTCTGAGTTGACTGATGGGCCACTGAATGTTCTTGCTGAATTGAAAACTGACTCAAGAAACTGCACAACCCGAAAATCGGATGAAAGAGTCTGCAGAGAGAAAACAGTTTTCATTAGTATTTAGTGTTCTGTGCCATTTAGGCTCTGTCTCATCCTTGCTTCTAATATGCTCAGGTCCTGATAGCAAACAATGGGATTGCAGCAGTGAAATGCATGAGATCCATCCGACGCTGGTCCTACGAGATGTTTCGAAATGAGCGGGCAATCAGATTTGTTGTCATGGTGACTCCTGAGGATCTGAAAGCGAATGCAGGTGAGTTGTAAAGAATATGAAGGTGCACAGCCTTCTCCTCTCATGGACCCGTGTCCCCACAAGGGTACAAGAAGCTGAATGTACGTCCATTGCATCGCATACCATTCTGTCAAGTAACAGATTTTTCTGGGAGGTGAAGTACTTCCAGTGCTGTAGATTTAGGAAGTTCTAGTCCAAGTACCATGTATTAGATTTGCAATCTAAACAAGACCTTCTTTGTGATTGCAGAGTATATTAAAATGGCAGATCACTACGTCCCAGTTCCAGGAGGACCAAACAACAACAACTACGCGAATGTGGAGCTCATTCTTGATATTGCTAAGCGGATTCCAGTGCAGGTGAGAAATGTCAAAGTTAGCTTTCATATCAGGAGGTAACACTAAGCAATCTTTTCTCTTTAAATAATGAGTTGAATCTGGCGAAAAAGGCAGGTTGAAGAAATTGAAATTACAAACCTATACCAGCACCAAAAGGCAATGCAGATTACAATGCGGTGGATTTCCTAGTATGAATATCTGCAGGAGACAGCAGGTTCCCTTCATCCTTTCACTTCTCTGCACTTAGTTCCTCTTCAGCAGCTTGCTTCAGTAGCCTTCTTTGACTTGTCTGTAAGATGCAATACACCTTTAAACTAAGCATACCATTAGTTCAGGAGGCTGATCTGGCTTATGAATGTTATGAGGCTGTTTTCAGTGAGGAAAAGAAAGGCTTGAAATATCTGCATGCTTTCTATTTCTGCTCACTTGCTTATTTTTTATGAAAGAGTGAGTTTTGTTATTTTCTTCTGCAGGCTGTATGGGCTGGCTGGGGCCATGCATCTGAGAACCCTAAACTACCAGAACTTCTCCACAAAAATGGGATTGCTTTCATGGGTGAGGATACATACTTCTGATCTAATGTCTAGTCCTTATTTTAAGATGGGTGGACTTAGTGAGATAGAATATCTTGAGTCTAAAACAGAGCTATGAGGTATGGTTTGCCAGTGCAATTAAGAATGCGTTCTTTACAGTAGTCAGAACAGCAGGCTGCTGTGTAACACTGTAGTCTGTTTCCAGTCGTCGAGGCTAATGAAACTGGTTTGGACATATGCTGGGAAATAGTTCTTGTATAAGAGAAGTGGCAGATTCTCCAGCATGTCTCAATATTGTGAGATACACAATCAGAAAAGAATCTTGTTAAAGCAGATTGTTTCAAAAGCTGGATGTCACTGTTGTCATTTTAGAGAGGATGTTTATAGTTTGGTTGTATGAAAAGAGTGGATTATTATGTGGACAGTTCATGAAATTTGTAGTTTAGTTAGCAGTATAGCTAACAAAGCTCTGGAGATGTTTGATGCTGTAAGCCTCATGTCCTGAACCACATGGATGTGGATATTGGATAAGATTTTGTGCATGTGCTGTGTCTAAAACTAAAGATGGACTTATAATAAAAGCCATGGTCTGAACATAGCCTGGGGATAGTTGTATCGTGTTCTGACTTCTACCAGATCTTTTTCTCTGTAGTGTGTTGAGCCATAACTGCAGAAATACTGTGGACCTTTGAAGAGGAGTGGATTTAAAAGCTGTATTTTAATTCCAGTTTAAATATCTGACCAATCATACACTACAATCCCATACAAACCACATTTCAAGTAAAATTGGGGCACTGAATTATTATTCTAGTAGCATGTGATGTCCACACCTAATATCAGTTACTTGTACCTGCCATCCCTTTGAGAGCAGGCCCAACTTGTGGGCACATGGACAGAGAGTGGTACCTGCAAGCTGAGTGTGCCAAGACTTCTTTAACAGGACGGGCACTTAACAAGCTATTGGGATGTGTCTGTGGTTGCACTGCTGTGGTTTCAATTGCCTTTTCCTCTTCCTTGGTCAGAAGTACTTCAGTCTGTTTGCTTTTAGTTTTCTGGCTGATATAGCTAATGCTCTGTCTCAGTTCAGAAAAGTTGATTTATACCAGTTGAGATGTGGCACACAGCAACCCTGCTAAGAGTGTTAATTTATTCCTCTTACGTGGAACCTAAATTAGGCTTCTAGATATAAGGGAAATTTCTGATGTCTCTTGTCTCTCTCAACAACTATTTTTGCTCTTTGCAGGTCCTCCAAGCCAAGCAATGTGGGCCTTAGGAGATAAAATTGCTTCTTCAATAGTGGCTCAGACTGCCGGCATACCAACTCTTCCTTGGAGTGGCAGTGGTAAGAAGGAATTTGTCCTGTGCTTATCAAGATCATTCCAATATTTTTTTATTCAATACATAAGAGGTTTCTGTGCACAAAAAAAGGTGTTCCAAGGGATGTTTCTTTTGTTCAGGGTTTCAAATTTGTTTTATGTGAGGCTTAGACATAGTGACTATGGTATATGTGGATATGTCAAGCAAAATCTACATGTTGTGTAACATGTCTAACAGTACAGCTGTCATATCTGGTACTTCTGCAGTCTCTATTTTTCTAGCATATAGTGTGTAGTTTTGGAGCACACAGCCAATACTCTGCTTCCATGGAAGCTCTATACAATTTGAAAAAACTGTAAATAACAAACTGTGTCTCAGAATTACACAGGGTAAATGTTGGATGGAAAGATCTGCTCCCCAGAAAACTGGAGACATCCAGCATTCTCTTATTTTTTTTTTAAGTGCTTCCAGACTCATTCCTTGTGGAGCTACAGCTGATGTTTGTTTCACCAGTGTCTGTTGTGTGAGTTCTCACTGAGTCTTGCAGCAGGATAAGCTAGGAAGATAACGTTTATATTTCAGGTCTTCGAGTGGACTGGCAGGAAAATGATCTTCAGAAGCGCATCTTGAGTGTTCCTCAGGAACTATATGAAAAAGGCTATGTGAAAGACGCAGATGATGGACTGCGGGTAGGTGGCTAGTATTTCGAGAGGTATTTGAGGTCTTACGGTATGCACACTTAGAACTAGAGGTTTAATTTATTTTTAATGGGAGTACAAACCAGAACTAGGCTATCAGCCTCACAGAACTGAGTCTTGGGAATTGGAGAGTGATCTTTCCCATATCTTTGGTCCCAGCCTGCAGAATTAGTTAAGAATTAGGAGAAAGAGACAAAATATGGGACCAAAGTTGTATTTCATCAAGGGCTCTCTTCTGGTTTTTGTTTAATGCAGGAAGAAGGTGTTTTTAATAAAGACCCATGATCTCACACTTGATTTCATCTTTTGTTAAGTTTCTCTTTGAGAAAGATTTCTAGAACAAGAAATATTTCTGGCACAACACAAGATTTGGTAGTCGTCTTCTGTGAAGAGAGGGCGTGGATTATGATTTTTCCATGTTACCTAGCTTAATGATTTTCTGTGTTATACAAAAGCTTTTCTGTGAGTTTGTAAATCTAATGGTGTGAAGCACTGACAAAAGATTTTTGTGATCACTTTGAGAGGCTAGAGTTCTCTGTAGTCACAAAATCACTGCTGATTTTTTGAACTACAGGCATCCTCTCAAACTGGAGTATTTGATTTCTATCCCATTCATGTCTTGGTTGCTAAATGGAGTCAGACATGGAAGCTTGGACACAAATCAACAGGGAAATAGCGATCTTTTCAACTACTTTTTTGTACTTACGCATGTTTTTCTGTCCATCTTGATCAGGCTGCTGAGGAGGTTGGCTACCCTGTCATGATCAAGGCTTCTGAAGGAGGAGGAGGAAAAGGAATCAGGAAAGTTAACAATGCAGATGACTTCCCCAATCTATTTAGACAGGTAGCGTTTCCCATTGATTTGTACTGTCTTGTTGTAATTGTTCAGGTTGGGTGGATCTGAGAGCACTGAATCGGAAATGTTAAAGAACTGAAAAAGTCTCCTGTGTTATGTATCAGAGCTTGTTTAGCTACTTTGAATAATGAGATCCTGCTTTCTTTGCACTGTATGTTGGTAGGATTTCAATATATCTGCATGTCTAATATAGTTGTCAAATGCTCAGGCATCACAGGAGATGCTGAATAAATTCAAGTAATGGAGGGCATCTGCAGTGTAACTCAAAGAAGTTGAGGGACATGAGCCTTCTTTAGTTTATGGGCTATTTGGAAAACCTGAGAGGAATGGAAACTGCACTGAATTATATACAAGCGAACAGAGTACTGTCAGCCTTTAGTGGCCCAAGGGGAACATTATGGATGTTCATTGCTGAAAAAAAAAGAATTTGGGATGGTTGTGACTTAGGCATTTAGAAAAAATAATCTGCCTTTTTATGTGCTGTGTCTGCTATAGGTTCAAACTGAAGTGCCAGGCTCCCCAATCTTTGTGATGAGGCTGGCCAAGCAGTCCCGCCACTTGGAGGTGCAGATCCTGGCAGATCAGTATGGCAATGCCATCTCTCTCTTTGGTCGGGATTGCTCTGTGCAGCGCAGGCATCAGAAGATTATTGAGGAAGCACCCGCTTCTATTGCGACTTCAGTGGTGTTTGAGCACATGGAGCAGGTGAGAGTGGCTCTGCAAGGTCTCTTTTCCTCGTGACACTCCAGAAACAGCCAGGATTTTTTTTTATTCCACGTCGTCAAGAGTTTTGCATTGTTGACCCTTTTAAAGGATCAGTGTAGGGCTGCGTGTCTTAAACTGCTTAGTGTGGGCAACCACTGAGATTTCCAAAACTGACCGAGTCTACCATATGCTGACAAAAACCATGTGCACCCCAAAAATGGGAGGAAAGTGTGTTCTCAGTGTATACTGTCATATTAAAAGCAAGCTGCAGGAGCTGTATACGCTTTCTAATGCTGAGTATTTTGAATATTAGCTTCAAACTCTGCCCTCTGTAAACAGCATAAATAACCTGGAAATCAAAGCTCCTGTGCCATGTGCTTTTCTTTGAGCAGTTTTTGGGCCTGTTAGAAGCTTTTGGATGTTTCATAATGCCAGCAAAGAAGTCTGAAGTGGGTGGGATGGATGAACAGAGCATGGGGCCTGGATTTCAAATACTCTTCTTTCCTGTATCCTAGTGTGCAGTGAAGCTTGCCAAAATGGTGGGGTACGTGAGTGCGGGCACGGTGGAATACCTGTACAGCCAGGATGGCAGTTTCTACTTTCTGGAGTTAAATCCCCGGCTGCAAGTGGAGCACCCCTGCACAGAGATGGTAGCTGATGTTAATCTGCCAGCAGCGCAGCTCCAGGTGAGTCGGTGCCCAGGTCCCGTGCTCCCAAGGCTTTTGGATGTTCTGGAGCTGGGGTGCGTTGGAGGCCTGAGCATGAAAAACCTGTTTTGCTGAAACCTTAGTAAAAGAGGGGGGCGGACTCTTGTCTGAGTCACAGCCAGCGTTCTGTGTTAAAACTGGATCACATACTGGCATTATGCAGATGACTAGATATTGGTACTGATAGAGGAGAGAATATAAAGGAAGTATTAGAGAGCTTTTCTAAATATGGCCTATATCCTTTTGTGCAGGGTGGTGATATATGACTCCCCCGCATTTCTTCCCCAGCAAAAATACTCAATAACTCGAAGGCCCTTTTTGGTACTTTCCAAGTTTGGGATTTATCTTCTGTGGCTGGAGCAAAGCTTTAGTATTCCAAAATATATATACATCCCTTCTGTTACGACTGTTTCAACTAAGTTATAGTTCTACCATTTGGCTCTTTCTCATTTGGAAAGTGAAGAGAGGTTATTTTGTAGTTGTTCCTCCTGGACTGCTCAGGGAAACCTTCAGTTGAAAGGAGTGTGAAGGGAAGTAATAGAGGAATATAATGTAGAGGTAGGAAAACTGATTTAAGGAAAGGCTATGTGTGAAAAAGCCTGTCTCAACAAGCTTTAGTGATGAGTAGTTCAACTTTAAGCTCTGAAATAATTTTGTCAAGCAAGTTGGCTTCTGAGGCTAGTGGAGTGATCAAATGCTGTGCCAGCTTTGAGCAGTGCATCGCCCACTCCACTGCCTCCAAGGGACAAGAGTCTGTTCCCAGGGTTTCTGATGACAAAGAGAGGCAAAAAAGAGCAGACATTTTTTTCATCTTTTAGCAAATTCAGCAATTGTTTGAAGTTCAGGAAAGTGACTTGGGTCTTTTTAATTTTGATGAGCAATTCTTGACTTCCAGGACCATTGCTTCCACCTCCCTAAGCCCCTCACTCATAGCAGATGCTGCTGCTTCCTGGCTGTGGTCCCTGTTCTTCAGCCTTTCTACCAAACTGGATTTGTGCCTTATAATTGGGCACTTGAACAGATGTGGCAAAGCAACCAAGAATATGTTTGGATTTATTGCTTTTTCAAGGAGAGGTCATTGCAGTGAATGACAGTTGTGGCTTACATGAACCACTAGGCCTTTTTGTCGTTCTGATTCCCCAAATAATGATGGAATCCTTACTGATCATGTAGGGAGCATTTGTTGCATTTATTATGGTTTGTCCCTTGTGCGTCCCCACCAAACTCCCCCTGTGCTGCCGTGCTATGTTGCTCTTTTCGGCCCCCATCTTTTCCACTCGTGGA